GAAAACTGTATACCCTAGTTTGTCGTGCATTCTTTCCAAAAATCGGGACTTTTTTTAAAACACCATGGGACAAATTTTTAAAAATCGGGGACGTCTGGTCACCTTACGCCTGGCTACGCTGCCTGGCTTCCCATCTCTGGAGCTGGGTGCTCCGGCCCTCCCCTGCTGCTGGGCACTGTGGACAGGTGCTGACTCATTGAGCCTCGTGCAACAGAATGAAACACGCCTGGCCCTACACCGTCTTGACCACGGTGGCACTTGGAGTCACTGCTGCAGCCAGGGCATCTGTGAAGGCCTTCCTCTCAGCCCGGCGCTCTACCCCACATGACGTCCTTCTCCAGGGACTGGTCCCTCCTGGCAGCATGTCCCACGTCTGTGAGGTAGTGTCTCTCCTCCTGGTCTCCAAGGAGCCCTTGGCTGGACTGTGGTGGGGGCCTTGTTCCTTGCCAGCCAGTCCCCCGGGGCTCACAGCTCCTTGGACCCATCCCTGGGTCCATCTGGAAGGGTTTGCAAGGCCAGTCTTCTGCTCCGGAGCGACACTCCAAGCCACGCCCTCGGGGGTCCCCGTCAATAGCCAGAGGAGTGTCTTAAAATCATGTCCCGTCATGGTCTGACAAAGAGAGGAAAAGCAGGCCTCTATGCAGCCTCAGGCCCAGGCAGCACCGCAGCATGACCCACTGGCCAGGGCGCCCTCTGTGGGTAAAACCCTGTGTAATCTTCCCAGTGGGGAGCCTGCTCCTCAGAGTGCCATGCGCCCCAGGCACCCTTTGAACCATGCACTGTCTCCTACAGGCCTCAGACGCTGCTGACCTCTGTCCATTACTGACCTCCTCTGTCCCCCGCTGGCCTCCTGAGTCCCATGCTGGTCTACTCTGGGCCCCAAGGTGGGGGGAACAGCCCCTGGCCATGCTGTCTAACGGTGGCTGCACGGGCCCCCCCCAGGGAGCATTCCCTACTGCTCCCGGCCTGTGCCTCCACCTGCCAAGCTGGGGTGATTGGGCTTTTACAATGAATTAGAGACACTTGGAAGGCGGTCTGCTCTTCTAAAGAGGTGCAGCTTCAGAGGCTGGTGGTGGGTGCCAAGTGGTGAGGACCCTTGAATACTGAAGGGTCCGGCACTCTGTCTCAGGGGCTGCAGACTCCCTACTCTGCCCTCTGTGGGTGGTTTGACTGCCCGCACAAAGCGGTTTCTGTGGGTTTGATTGTAAGCCCTTGTCACTGGTCAGTTGGCCCACCCTCTGCTTTGGGGTCCGAGTTCTGTGATTTGCTTCGGTCGGGCTTCCCGCTGCAAAATAAGTATAGTTGCAAGTCCTCTTGTGGCTGTGTTGGTCCACATTGACACCCCACGCGGTGGTGGAGCCAGAACTCGCCTGAGGGGCAGGATGGCCACACGTCAGCTGCACAGGCAAGCTGTTCTGGGGAGCTAGCTGCATCGTGGGCCACGTGTTGGGCTGTTCACTACAAGATCACGGTCAAACCCACCAGCTGCTCTGCAGGAGAAAGGCGAGACTGCTTCAGGGACCCCGGGGTGGCTCTGTGGGCCCAGCCTCGCGTGTGGGGATGTGCCCTCAGCCCTCTCTTGTTCCAGTGCAGCACTGCTTCGAGGACTGCGGCCTTAGCATATGTTTGAGTCTCAAGGGCCGGGCGGCGTCCCAAGCATGTCCTCAGCCTACAGGGAACCCGCGCTCTGGTGAAGTCGCTGCAGGCTCCACCCCAAAGGCAAAGGCTCATCTAGAAAGAACGGCACCTCCTCTGAGCACCCTGCCTTTCTGAAGTCTTCTTCCGCTGGTCAGCCTTCGTGGAACAGGACTTCACCGTCTGCTTTTGTAAAGGTTCGTGTGTGGATTGCTGACCTGTCTTCCGCTTCTCCTGTGTCCGTGGTGGTTTTCAGAGCGACCACGTCTCCTCCAGGCCCTGACCACAAGCCGGCGGTGCTGGGTTAACGACCAGTCACTCGGGAGTGGGTGGGGCCTCATCCAAACGTGGACAGGGAGAGTCAGAGACTCACAGAGAAAGGGATCGAGAGGCCAGACAGAGAAAAGGTGGAGACAGAGATGCACAGGTAGAGACAAACAGAGATACAGAGATGGAGAGAGACAAAGCGGCTCAAACAGAGAGAGAAGACAGAGACAGAGATGTGGAGACAGAGAAGACAGACAGGCAGGCAGTCACACACACAGACTAAGAGAGGCGTCTGTGTGAGCTCAGGGGAGGAGCTGCCCCTGCCACCCACCTTCCTCCAGCTCCCCGCTCCCGCCCTCCCCCTGGGCAGGCTGAATGCCCGGCCAAAGGGCCCCAGCCAGTGTCCTGTTGGAGGGCTGGCGTGGGCAAAGTGGACCAGCTGGCCGCACAGACTCACCGACTTGTGGCTCTTGGCAGTGATGGTCTTGGCTCGGTCTGGGTCCCAGATGACCACATCGGCATCCGAGCCCACAGCCAGCCGCCCCTTCCGGGGGTACACGTTGAAGATCTTGGCTGCGTTGGTGCTAGTGACGGCCACAAACTGGTTCTCGTCCATCTTGCCGGAGGCCTAAGGCAGACCCACAGTGACCAGCCATGCACTCCTGGGCACGAGGGCAGGTCCAGGGCAGCTCCTCGGCCCGAGAGCCTGCTGAGGGCACGGAGCCCTAGGGGCTCCCGGGGCAGCAGAAAAGGAGAGCCCTGCTCAAGTGGGGGCTGGAGTCTAGCTGGGCAAGTGCTCCCGCGGCCACATGTGCAACCGTCAACTCCCCCAAACACAAGCGTGCACACGCACTGACCCCCGCGCGCGCACACGCACGCACGCACGCACGCAGCTTCGAGACTGTCCATGTGCTAATGTGGTGCTACCGCAGCAGGGGTGGCGGGGGCAGGGCTCTGGGTCTGCAGAGCTCTCAGGGACTCTCACCCCTTCCCAGGCTCCCGCCTCCTCCTGCGGGAAGGAGAGGGTGTGACAGCTCTGCCCAGCCCCTTGTGTGACTGCCCACAGGGTCACCCTTACCACCGCCTTGTCCCAGACGATGGCCATGCGCTCCTCGACCCCATTGACGCCCTCCGGAATCAGTGTGAAATTGTCCTTGCCCACGGCCTTCTGGGCGGTGCTGTAGGGGCAGTGGCCACTGCCCGTCACCTGCAGGTCACCGCTGGGAGAAGGGTGCAGGCTCAGAGCTGCCCTCACCTGGGCCCTGACTCCAGATCCAGCCCGGGGAGAGGACCCAGCCGGCTCAGGCATCAGGGCG